GGGGGGTAAAATCAAAACTTTTTTCTGAGGGGGTGTCCTCTCCTATTATTCTGAAATATCTGTTACATCTGTTACATCTGTTACTCCCTTCTGATTCTATCGTATTTTCCTCTCTTTTTCCTTATTTTATCTGTTTTTTAGTATATTTTTAGTAACAGATGTAGTAACGGATAGTAACGGATCTTGGGTAAGCCTGCCCCACGGAGGGGAGATGTAGGTACTGCGAAGCCACGAGGCCGAGGTGGGGTGAGCGCTAGCGAGACACACTACCAGCCCGACGACTCCGCCGATATGTGGGTATTGATTTGCTAGCATTAAGGGGGAATATATGGGCACTTTGCAGTAGAAAGAGATGAAACTACTAAAAAAAATAAAAAATGAATTAATATAAAATCTGAACAATTTATAGCATTTAAAATATTTTTGACATATAAAAGAAAATTTGAATTTTTTTAGTAGTTTCGTCCCTTTCTACTGCAAAGTGCCCATATTATACTGTAATTTAATGATACTATGAATAATACATACTAGATCTTATAAAATGGGACCAGTACGTTCAAAGGGGTACTTTATGCAGTTCTAGATGGTATAAATAAATAGCTTTTAACTTTGCGATAGGCAAATTTAACGAACTTTTACGTTTCATCAAAATACAGTTCTTTCATTGATTTCTAAAATATCTAATATATATCTCGATCATGTACGTTGTACTTTAAAATTATTAATTATAAAAAATTATCATGATGTACAAAATCTTCAGTTCTGACAATTGACCTAGTCATTTAAAAATTACATATGTAATTTCATTGTTTTGAGGATAAATTTATATCACGTGATAATATGAATTGTAATGTCGGCCGGCATTAATAAATTTGGCCTGAATTAATTCTAAATAACTCGAATGACAAATGACCCAAATGACTAGGTCATTCGAAGGTCATTCCAAAATGGCCAAATGACCTGGTCATTTGCCACCACTGACTGTCTGTTCAAGCTCTTGTAAATTTGCGAATTAGAAATAGTAAATAACAATGAAATATAATTTCTTTCATCGGAGATTTTTTTTATGGAGTCAATGAGTCATAAAAATTTAATTTGTCTAAAGTATTCGAAAGATTTATTATTAACGAAGCAAGCATATTTTTGAATACAATATTTCGTTGTGTTAAATATTTTCGAGCAATAATTAAATGTTTCAAATGGATTTGCAGATAATTTCTCGTTATCTTTGCAGGATTCAGACGAAATATGTAATTCTGAAAAGACTTATTTGCTCGCTAAAATCCAAATTCAAAGATGATATTTACACATTGCAATACATTGACTGAGACAAGTTTTGTTAATTAATAAACATTTGAGAGGAGAGTTAATGTCAGTTTAATAAATAAACAATCTAGAAAATTGTTAGTTAACGTATTTTTAAATAAAGCTGGAATCCTAAATTCATTAAACAAGATGACGCACGTTAATATTATTTATGTAATTTACTGATATTTTTTAATGTCCGCAAATCGATCTTTATCGCGTTAAAAATAAAGTATGATACCAGGAAAGATTACGTTAAAAAAACAGCATGTTTCAATTGTTTCATGTACATTTTATATATAAAAGAAATTTTTATTGAAAGAAAATAAATATACATAATATCAATATACTAATAATTTGATATGATTAACGTTTTTAATTGTATTCTTTGTCATCAAAATCTGTAACTTTAAAATTCTTTATAACTCCTAAATTAATATATTTTTGAATTATTTCCATATTTTCATCATTTTTATCTAAGCTATTTTCTCCATCATATGTAACAATAACCAAAGAAAATGATTTTTGTGGTGTACGATTTGTCCAATTTACGAAAAAGGATTCTAATGTTTTTGGAAGTAATTTAAATCGTACAGTAAATAGATGATATAATATTATTTCATTAATATTTTGTGAATATTTTACGACCGTTTCTAATGCTTGCTTTTCACTCAAAAATTCATCTCCACACCAAATTTTAATACTTTCTAAATATTTACAATTATCAAAAATTATCTTTAATGTTTCCAATTCATTACTTTTGATTCCAGTGGAAAGTTTTCTAAGCATTGGACAAAACTTGGCTATAGATAAATTTAATGAATTATCACTTTTACCATCATCATCACCAATATAAAATTCTTTTAAATATTTTCCATTATTTTCTAAGAATTTTACTAAAACTTCAACTTTTGGAAATCTATCTTGAATTTTTAAAATTTGTAATTTTTGAAAATTATTATATTGTAATTTTCCAAAATCTCCAAAACATCCATCCCGACAAAAATATAATACAAGTTCTTGTAAATTTACAAGATTAGCGATAAATGATAATGAGGTATAATGATGATGATTTCCATATAACTTTAATTTAATTAAAGTATTAGAAAGTTTTGACATTAAAGAAGGAATTGTATTAATTAATTCATTTTTTGTTAGACCGTAACCTAGCATAATATCAAAATATTTTATATTTTTCTGAACAGAAATTAAATCTACTAATCCATTTGAAACAATTTTTCTGGCTTCAATAGTAAATGATTCTATATTATAACATGTTTGAGATAATTGATAAAAAAATTCTGAAGAAATATTTGAACTACAATGTAATTCTGAGAGATTTTTAAAGAAATCTTTCGCTCCAGGGTAAAAGATAAAATGTGTAGGTGGAGATTGCCATTGACAAAATGATAATATTTCTAATTTTTTTAAAGAAGATACATGCTTTATAAATAATTTAAATATTTCTTGTACTACTATTGGTAACATATGTTTAATATTATTGGAATCTTTTGATGAAATAGTTCTTTTAAGAAGTAAATTTATCTTATTATAAACTTGTTCAACTGATAAAACTTTACAAAATGATGCATAATTGTAAGTTGGAAATTTTGAAGTTGGGGTCGAAATAATAATTCCATTCTCACATAAAATTTCTTTTGACTTGTTTGAAAGGCAAGCAATTAAAGTTCTAAAATTTAAAGTATTATAATTCCAAACATTTCTCCAAAAAATCCTCACTGAAACCTCACACCAAAATCGATTAACTAATATACATGAATTTAGAGTAAATTTATCATTTTCTAAGTATTTGAGAATCTCATACAAACAATCAGCGGGAAGTTGAGACATTTTTGTTTTCTTTTTTTTAAAAGATTTAAAATTTTAAAAAGGAGACGTACAGTATGTATGATTGTGTTACAAATATAAGAAACATATGGTTTTACAAATTTTTATTAATTATAATTTTTCTTTTTTTGTATACTTAAAACGCAAATCAAAGTGATACAAGGTATATTGGTTATACCGTAGCATTCAAGATCGCCGATCGTTTTGGTATATAGATACGATTTTTAAACCAGGTCAAATCAGGGATGTGGCTACGTTTTAATAATTTATCGAAATACTAGGACTCCGAGCAATACATAAAAAAGTATACAAAGTTTGCGTAAAGTTAACATTATTTTTTTTTGGATAATGCCACATTATGTATTTCTGGCCAGAGCTAATAGTAAATGAGTGCCGATCTCTTGTTACCTCTCGGTTCTGAAATACTATTTTGCCGAATATACCGATTGTTGCACGAATCCACCGATCCTCTATCTTTTCGGGGGCAACTTTAAAGGATAAGATTGTGTCAAAAAAAAAAATCTGTACGCATCTTTTTCAGGGCCGGAATTATAGTAACATCAGTCAGTATTTCAGCGGGAATTATCACAAAAGGAAAGATATGATTATTTTGAAACTCACTGACCCTTTTACATGCAGTATATTCCTGGGACCTGCAACTTCTTCATTGAACATTATGATTATTTTTAGTTATTATGTTATCACCATTAGAATGTACGCCAGATTATGCAGTGTAACAGTTGGATATGATATATTTTTGCCATTTGCTGATTTTGCTGAAATTTTATAAATATTTCATTGCCAAATTAATAATAAAATGAGACTATTTTAAAGTAAATTTACTTGAAGAAAAAAATAAAATCTTTTCATTTTTATGTATGATATTAAAATCATAAGACCGACTTTATGAAGTTTGGAGTTGAATTACGGTCATTTAATGGTTAAAAACGGTTAAAACGGTTTAGGAAAATCTGATGATCTGATATTCTTGATTAACAAAATAATCAAAATAATAAATACCCCTTTTATTTATCGAAGTACAACAGGAGTGAATGCGTAATTATTTTTAATATCAAATGGGAACGTCTTCAGAATACATAATACATGTGGCATAAAATAAGCAACTTTTCATTTCTGGAATTACCGACTTACTAACTAAAAAAGGAAAGATTAAAGATTTACAAGTTTACGTAAATAATTTGATTTGAAAATCTTACGCAAACTTCCTTTATATGTACTTTTCGGTTGATCGCTCGTAGAAATACCACGCCTTTAATCCAGTATCGAGAGAAAGATTCTTAACAACACCGGAACTCGAAACATTCTTCAGAAGAAGCGTTCGAGGAAAATGCAATATAACCGGACCATAAATGGTCAGTAGGCGTCACCCATGCACCCCATGCACTTGCAAATTGCCAAGAAAAACATTTGAAGATCTTCGTCAATTCCGTATACATAATCAGATTACTATCTATAGGAAATCATTTATTTCATGTCAATTCCGTATACGGAATCAGATTTCTATCTATAGGGAATTCATTTATTTCATTATATGTACGAATATTATAAAAAAGACAAAAAAAGAGCTATTTTTAGATGTTTCACCTTTCAGTCTAGCCTTTTATGCAGGTAAAGGTCGTGTGCGTAATTATAACACCACAATGGATGTGCATAAAGACAATTAAGTGAGGAGTGAATTTATTGTCACAAAAATTTGTGACCTTGCCAAAAAAAAACTAATAAAAATGCCAAGAAATTTTCAAATTATCGACCAATTCATTTGAATCAACAATCGAATTGATCATGATTTTTTATAAATTATTTGTTCATCTTTTTTGCGTTATTTTTTGGGCAACTTTAGTTTTATCTAAGCCAATTTTGAACCAAGAACTTATTAAATCCCGGAATTATGAGCCAAAAAAAAATATTTTCGATATCACTTTAAAAAGAGTTACTTTAGCCCCGGATGGATTTACTCGTAGCTTGGCAACTATTAATGGGCAATACCCTGGTCCAACTATAGAAGTCAAAAAAGGAGATCGTATTGTAATAAACGTTCGTAATGAATTAGGAGAACCAACATGTAAGTTACAAAGGAGGTTTTTCTTGGTATGTTTGTCGAATAATTATTTATTAACAAAACAAATATCTTCAGCAATTCATTCACATGGAATGTTCCAAAGAGGGACTCCTTGGTATGTAATTATCGGCTATAGTTAATGAATTTTTTTTTATTAAAATAAATGACTAATTTATCATCAATTTTTAGGTTTGACGGGGTGGCAGGACAAGTGAGTTTAATCAATCCATGTTCTTAAATAAGCGTCTTTACGTAACTTACACGTTTCTCGTTCTCTGGTAACATATAACATTGTCAGTCTCAATGTTTGATACCAGACAATTACGCATTTACTTATGATTTCACTGTTCCTGATCAAGCCGGCACTTATTGGTAGTAAGTATATACAATTTTCTTTTGAATGGTGAAACTGAAATGTCTCACGTGATGTCACCCAATTTTAGCCATTCACACGCAATGACGCAATATGTCGATGGAGTTGTTGGAGCGTTAAGTAAGTTAATAATTCATATTTAAGTCGACTATTTTTTTTTTTTTTGGAATTTTACGACGCTTTTTTTTTTCGTTTTCATTTTATCAGTCATTCACGATCCTGATGACCCGTATTTAAATGAATACGATGAGGAAATCATCGTCATGTTGACTGATTATCATCACACGGAATCAGAAATTTTATTAAAAAAATTCTTGACTCCTTCAAGCGGAGGCGATGAGGTAAATTAAAGTTGATTTATAATTGTTTTAATTTCATGTTAATTAGTTTATATTTATATTTATATTTATTATAAAAAATTTACATTATTAATAATTTATATTAGCCAGGTAAGGACAATAAGAAATGTCATCATACAATGACGCAATAGACGCATGGCGTTAATTTAAACTCTTGTTTAGTTCCCGATAACGGATTGATCAACGGAAAAAATAATTTCGATTGCTCAAAAGCTCCACATGGATCCAAATGCGTGGATAATTCTGGTCTTGCTAAATTTGAATTTGTTTCTAATAAAAGATATCGTCTTCGTATCATTAATACTAGGTAAATTTACGTATTTACGTCATTATAGTATCAATACAATTTAAAATTTTAATAATTCATTATGTGTTGTTTCATAACCTCTTATCTTTCAGCGCATTTTCGGCATTCTTCTTTTCAATTGATAAACATGAAATGGAAGTTATAGAAGTAGAAGGTTCCTATACTAAACGGAATAAGATCCATCGTCTTCCTATCAATGTTGCTCAGAGATATTCCGTTATTGTTACCGCAAACCAACCTGTTGATAATTATATAATGCGTTCGGAATTTCAAAAGACATGTATGCCGGACGATGCCAAAAAACTTTCAATTGTAAAAGCTATTGTACATTATGATGGAGCCCCAGAAGATTCTGCGCCAAAGGACGTACCATGGAAAGATTTCTTGGAAGAATGTATTGATTTAAAACATGAAACTTTGCAGCCATTATGTGAAGAAAATCTTCCTAAAGCAACAAAAAAGATGGAACTTACAATCACTTTTCATAATGATTCATCAGGGGTTGTTAGAGCTTTTTTAAATGAATCTTCTTATGAACCCGATATAAAATTTCCGACTTTATCAAGAATCTTTGCAGGAAAAGCGAATAACTTTCCACGAGATAGAAATGCCTATATTTTTGATACTCCTGGAGAAGTAGTTGATATTACTTTTATCAGTAAGGATAATTATTATGATTATTTTTAATTATTATTTAAAAGAGATTTTAAATAACACGTTCGTTTAGATACTGACGAAGGAGACCACCCGTTTCACATGGTAATTTTAAATTATGTTATTGTTCCGTCGATTAGCAAATATGCAGGATTTTAATGACCTATGATAATTGGTCACCGCAGTATTCCTGACCGGACTATGACTTGGTGGTCGAAAACCGATAACTTTCAGTTATTTCCACTAACTATTAATTGCAATGATGTGTGAGCGATTATCTAATTTTTCCTTTTACAAAAAAATTTAGCATGGACATCAATTTTGGGTACTTGGATTCGGTAATGGAACTCATGTTGATAAAAAATCATTGAATACAGTTAATCCAATCAAGCGTGATACTTCAACAATACCTGCCAGCGGGTAA